CCAATTTTCTTTATGTCCAGCAGCTTCTGGCTGATTGAGAACCTTATGTCAGTGAATTCTATGAACAGTTTTCAATTATCTTACTTTTTTAACTAAAATGAAATCATTTTAGAAAGCAATAGTTTGTGACATAACATGATTTTTTTATAAGACAGAAATTCCACAGAGGATTATTCTAGCAGAAGCATCATGAAGAAAAAATAAAGTCAAATCCAGAATATGTCTATTTACAAGTGAGTGCAAAAGGCCAGCTCAAAGGAATGGGTAATCAAATTTCCTCAGAAAGCTGGCAGTGCAGATCTCTTAGAGGTAATATCCCATATTGGGGCTGAGAATTCCTAGAAAGTTAAGCACTGAGCAGGGGCAGTAACCAAGTTAGCCTTGATGACATGAAATCTTATTACTGAGTTAATCAATAGCATCTATTGTTAAAATGGTGTTTTTTTTTTTTTTATTATCCTAATGACAAACCACTGAATAAGCAATTTTCTTTACCTTATTTTTTTGGGTACCTTGGGTGTGAATATTATTATTGTATACAAACATTATCAAATTCTGGGCCTAAGCCCACTGTGTGTGGTCAATCTACATATATCTTTCATATATCTTTTTTTTTTCCTGTGTCAATGATTATTTCCACCAAGTATTTTATTAGTCAAATTTTAAGAATAGAGAAAAGTCGCCAAAACCGGCTTGGCTCAGTGGATAGAGCGTTGGCCTGCGGACTGAAAGGTCCCAGGTTCGATTCCGGTCAAGGGCATGTACCTGGGTTGCGGGCACATCCCCAGTAGGAGATGTGCAGGAGGCAGCTGATCGATGTTTCTCCATCATCGATGTTTCTAACTCTCTATCTCTCTCCCTTCCTCTCTGTGAAAAAATTAATAAAATGTATTAAAAAAAAAGAATAGAGAAAAGTTGAAAAAATTGGTGTGAAAACCCATATATTCACCACTAGGTTCTTTAATATTGTTACTTATATTGTTTTTAATTGACTTTATAAGGGTGACATCCTAATATATAAAAACCCAGGGTCTGTAACATCCAAAATGACTGAAGGCTCAACCGAACACCAGGCTGCGTGCACAGCAGGCTCTGGCGAGCAGGCTGAACTGCTGACCTCTTGGGGAGAGAGAGAGAGGTGGGGATGATCAGCGGCTACTGCCACTGCTGGCAAGGCCCTGGGAGAGAGAGAAGCAGGGTCTGATCTGCTGAGAGAGCAGCAGTTAAGCCCACTCGCCAACAGCCTGGGGTGGCTGTTGATCAGACTTGCCACTCTGATCAGGCCTGAAGATAGAACCGGAGATGCTGACTGGCATAGAAACCGACCAATCAGAC